AACGGGCGCAGCTCGTTTCTTACTTGCCTCCGAGCGATGTAGGAGCCGAATTCGCCTCTAAAGCGCAATTCCCTCGGGAAGTCAAACCACGCGGAACTGGAGGTGCCCGTCACGTCCCGGGAAAATCTCGAGAATGTGGCGAGTCTTCCGGGTTTGTTGCAGGCGATGGTCGTCGCGTAACAACACCGAGTCGACCTGTAAATCTCTCGAGGTTGTCGATGTAGAGTGGTAATAGGATCTCGACCTGCGCGAGTACTCCTTACGCCGACGATTCCAGAGTGCGGCCAATGACTTCTCACGGTACCTCTGGCGACGAGCGAGTTCTTTGGCCAAAGCAACAGCGGTCTCTCCTCCCTGAGTGGGTAGCGGAGTCGGGCGCCTAACCGGCAAGGAAATATGTTGCCGTTGATGGCTCCGCCTCCTCTTTGCCGGAGGCGGCACTGGTCAAACGTCGGAAATTATCGACGACTTCAATTTCTTTCGAGACTGTGTTTGGTTCCTCAAAAGTCGCGTAGGTGCACCCCAAAATTTTTTTCGGCAACGTCTTCGCCCGAACGCACCGTGCACTCCAAAAACGCCTCCAAGCAGCTCTTTCCCTAATGGATTTCTACTCGGTGCCTTCTTGAAATGAATGGTTTGAGAGTTTCTTCGCCACGTATAATTATCCAGATTTTGCATTGACGGAGGGCATGGCGCAAAGGAGCCCACGTCGTGCCACAAAGCGACAATAGCCAAAACGAAACTCTCTGTAGACATGTCGCTCGCCAGCTCCGGATGCACTGGCCTAGTTACGGTGCGGGTCAGTAACAAAATGTACGACCAATACTTCTTGCCTTCGTCTTTGGTGATGACGGGTCCGGCAAAGTCGAGACCCACGACCGCGAAGGGAGCCGCCTCTTGTACTCCCGTCTCGTGGTAGCGGCGCCACTGGCTCAATAGCATTCTTACCGCGTATCTTTCTACAGATTATAGCCAACGGCCCAGGACCCTCTTTGCTGCTCATAGGGCTCAGAGGATTTGGAAGCTTTCGCGCAATTGAGTAGTTGTGTCCAAACACCCTGTACACAAAAGCCGTCGGTGTGCTTTTTGAATCAGGTTCCACAAATCGATGTGTCACGGACGACACGATCAAATGCGCCGTCTTGTAGCCAAAGTTTAAGTGCTGTGGACGTCCTTTTGGTCGCGACGGTCTTTCGTCATCCAGAAGTGCACCTAGGTGGCACAGTTCCGACAAAACGTCGAAACTTTCGCCTCGCTCAACGCGGATGAGCTTGTTGCCAAAGACTTCTCTTCGAACTAGGCGGATCGATGACGGACAAGCTTCTTTTACTTCGCCGGTGGTGCCAAGGGGCCCCTCTCGTTTTTCCTCGCTACGCGGACAATTTCTTGCAGAGTGCAACACCTGGACCGTGGTTCTTAGCGAACAATTCGGCGCACCAAAACGTTTGATGGCAACCGCAGGTTACAGTTTGCTCATGATGATGTGGCTCAGCCAGTGTTGAGGACCTTTTTTTGTGTACCGCTGTGTTGAGGACCTTTTCTGTGTACCGCTGGGCGTACGAGGCCGGTATTCCTGCGACTGTACCAGCCACGTCGGCCCTTTCCACCACTTGATGCAGTTCTTGATCGAGTCCGGAAATACCCCACTGGTCAACAAGATCCGGGGGGTTGTCGACACCCGGACAGTGTCCCCACGTACTGGGTTCTGCCTCTCCTGCACTTCCGTGGCACAGTTTGCCAAGAACGGATTCCACTGGGACAGAGGTCCCTTAACCCAGTGGAGTGCTGTCGTGGAATCCATCCGTGGCGTCACTGTGACATAATGCAACGTTATCGCTCCTTGGAAGTGGGAGCACCTATAAACGCTCCCATCAACTGCACTCGTAGAATCGAAAGTGCCTCGATAGGCGCAACACGTGTTCTAGACGGGATTAATGCCACAGTCCTCTTGTCACCATTGTCCCTTTAAAAAATAGGCAACAGCTCCGTCGCTACTACCAACCTGACGATGGGGCACCAAGATGTTCCCGAGGTCAAGTAGAGCATCGAGCCATCTGGTTCCCCTCTCACTGACGGCTGGCGACATCTGTGCATTCCAATCTAGTCCCAGTGTTCAGAGTTCTGGGGACATAATCTTCGCCGTTATCGTGACAGGACAAAGAAGACAGAGAGACATAGCACCGAATGGACCGCGAGTCATGCGCCACATGTCATTCTTCGTGTCTCTTGAGTCTTCTGTAGGAGGAAAGGCATACCACAAAAAACGGAGGGCATCGTGGTGTTTTTCTTTACCGTAATTCAAATTTGCAGAAAGGCCTTTCTCAATGTCAGCAGTGACTGCCACAGAATAGATACAGCAGTTGAGTATCAGCTGGAGGAAGTCTGGACCTGGACCTGTTGCCAATGCATTATTGAGGGATGGAGATCCCGGCAACTTCGCAGACGCATTGAAAATTATGCATATTATTTTTGTTGTGAAGCTGTCTGGCCTAAACACAGCTCGGTGTGGCATGTAGTAGACCCGTCTCGATCTCGAAGGGTCGTTGACTCGCTCTGGGGGTCCTTTCTGACGAAACCTTCCTTCAGGTAGTCTCGAATCGCTGCGTCATACTGAGCCAGTCCTTCACTGTTGTTACTCAGGCGCCGCTCCTGTTTGTTCAGGCATCGTGCCACAGCCTCATTGCTTTCTAGGGATCAATCCCAAGTCCTTGCATTAGAGCCTTGTCTCGTGGCGCCCCTCGACGAAGTCAAGGGATTAAGTGAATTCTTCTCTCACTTTGACTTCCTTTCTTTCGTATGGACAGTCGTTTGCCACCACTCCAAGGTTCTCTAGCTCCCAGAAAGCTCGTAGCTCATTTAAGAGGTTCGACATCGGGTCAGCAATGTTGGTACGCGGAACGGCAACCGTGGAGCAGGACACTACGTTAACAGCTTGCATAATAGGACTCTGTAAATTCCATCCAAAGTCCATTTTCGCTGCAATCAATGATTTCTACTTCCTGCATACTTCACCACTCACAATCTGCCAATAGTAGGTAGTCAGCTCCCACCAAGATTTCAGTTGTTTGTGTGATGTTCCAGGCAGGTAGAAAAGTGACATCTCTTCATTTTAATGCGAAAACATTAACTGTCCCATGGAGCGAGCCGACGTCATCAGTTTGAAGCGCAAAAACAGCGCTTAGGTTCCCTGATCCCAAAGGTCCCATTGGTTGGCGTGCGGCAACGAGGCTCCCATTGGCCGCTGCGCACGTCAGTTTCAACGACTGCCGCCAGATGGCGCTGCGTGCCCGTGCCGCCAGCGCGCCGATAAAACTATACGCCGCAACCCCATGCCACTATGGGCCCCGCGCCGGTTAAAACAGACACGTTGGCACGCACTCGAAGGCATCTGCTCGCCTCGTTGCTGAGCAACATGCTGTCGCCTCCATCATTCACATCGTCGGCGGTGCTTCTGCTCGTCTCGCCGCCGACGAACATGGCGCCGCCTCTGGCATCCACATTGTCGGCAGTGCTTCTGCCACAACTCGAAAACATTGTAGTAGAGTAGACAGTTGGGCGAGTTGGTAGTTATTGAACATAGTTACAGTTGCGCACTCAGGGACAAGGACAGAGAAGAGGAACACGTAGACGACAGACAAGCGCACACTCACAACTCATGTATCAACGAAAGAGGAAAAGAAAGTGGTACAGAACGCGGAATCCGCTCGAGCGTTGGCCAGACAGGCACGAGGGACCACAGGCCCAAGGGCTCGAGGGGGACACGTAAAATTACCCACACGAAAAAGATTTCAAGAAGGCAATTACAGCCCTCGGGCCTGCGGTCCCTCGTGCCTGTGTGGCCAACGCTCGTGCGGATTCCGCGTTCTGTACCACTTTCTTTTCCTCTTTCGTTAATACATAAGTTGTGAGTGTGCGCTTGTCTGTTGTCTACGTGTTGCTCTTCTCTGTCCTTGTCCCTGTGTGTGCAACTGTAACCATGTTCGAAAACATTACTCGCGCCACAAAACTCCGCGTATCACTCCACGGCATTCCATTGGACATTCATGCTTTCGCATTCACAACTCATAAAATGTGCTCATAAAATGTGCTTAGGTGTCTTCCGACTTTTTTTTAGCTCCACTACTCTGGGGATTTTGAGCACACTTTTGGGCACAATTAGTTGGGTCAGTACAGATGTCTTCTATCTCCAGTGCCTTTACACGGTGCTCCTTGCAGCTGTATTGACTTTTCAACTGCAGTCGCAAGAGTCATCGCTTTTCTTTGGTGATGTTAGCCGATCCACCGAACGAATAAATGGTCACGTCCTCTTCACCGATCACCTCTAAATTACACTCTCGCAAGAGATGCTCAGTGACTAAGGAGTGCCGGCTCGATTTAGAGGTGATCAGTGAAGAGGACGTGACCATTTATTCGCTCGGCGGATCAGCTAACGCCGCCGAGGAAAAGTGAAGGTTCCTTATTTCGGCACCAAAATGTTCAATATCAGATAGGACTAATAATCGAAACTTACTACACTTTTTACAGAAACATATACAAAGACTACTCAAGTTCTTTGTCCTGAGGCAATGGCAATCTCGGTCTCGTTCCACTCTTTTCACATCGTCATCATCTGGGCACGTGGCACCCATTCTCACGACGCCAGAAAGCCCTTCGACTTGCACGCACATTATTATGCAAGCAGTCTGGTTTGAATCTTCAACAACCTTGATGGCCCATGAGAAGGGTTTTTCACATTTACTTTATAAGGGCTTAACTCCGCACTGAACCGCGAGAAGATTAAAATGTTTATTCGTAACTTTCGTTCGAGGTAAGTTTCTACTCCGATATCTTTACAAAACGAGTCCAGCCACACCTCTCTGGTGAATGACGGCACCATAACGCACAAAATTGATTTTCAAGATTTATTTGTGGCGAACGAGATCCACTCGGTTATGTGAAGCTAACGGGTTGCCTCTCCCTGGCACGGGTAGAGTGAGTTCATCCTTGTGACTCCTTTCCAGGTGAGCGAGCAGGGCCACCGGTGCATCAGCGTGTTCCTGAGCGTGCAGCCGGTGGAAGAGCGCCGCTACCCACTGGTGGTGGCCACGCTGCCCGGCGCCCGCATCCAGGACCTGATCGGCCTCGTCTGCTGGCACTACACCAACGAGGGACGCTCCCCCAAGCTCAGGTGGGAGGGTGGCGCTTGCACCCTGCGGCGACCTTCACTGTCTGGTGCAGGAAGTGAACGGCTCTGGACCTTTATTTAACCCTTTGAAGGTCGATACTGTGCGTGTACGGCAGCGATTGCACATTTGAAAGTGCCCACCTAGGTAAAAGCGAAACTGAGCACACCGCTGGAGGTGTTGCTGTTTGTCGTGTCTTTGGTGAACTACTGTATAAAAAATTATATTCACACGGTGTTCACCTTGATGGGTTATTTATAGTTTTCAAATTAGATGCTCCGCACATGTGATGCTCAGTTCGCGTACCGGCCACTCTGGCGATAGTGCCGATTGGAGCACTGACTCTTCCGATTCAAACTTCCGACGCTTTTAGAATAAAATTTAGAGGATGAGAGCGGAGAAGTTCTGTAAAGTACCTGCGGTTACGAATCTGAAGTCGCCGGAATGTCGCGGAAGAGGATGCGCCAAAATTAAACCGAATGGAAGAAAGGAGACAACTTTTTGCCTTTAGTATTTTAATTGGATGGCTCTAAACCTAAACGGCTTGCAAGCTCTGTATGTGTTCTTACTAAATAATAAAAAACTGTGCATCGACCTTTTCTTTACATCATTTCTTTGGAAACAAGACCCGACCACTGGGAAACATCTTTTGGGAAAAACACTCGACCGTCAATGGGTTAACTGTAGCGGGCTTTCTAAAAGGTGCCTAGAAGGCATCTTTGACTGGTGTGTTTAGCATCTTATTCTGTCCACGCATCAAAAGTGGCCCCAAGTGGCAACAAATGACGTCGCAGAAGCCGACGTGTCACATTGTCAGGTGTCGCGATCCTGGCAGTTGGTGCAAGAAGTTCCGGCGAAAGTAGGAGCGAACGGGATTGTCGCCGATTGTCGCTGGGATTGTCGCCGATTGTCGCTGGCTGTCAAACCTTTTGTGGATTGTCAAGTTGGACGGTGACTTGCAGCAGGACAGGCACCTGCCACGTCTACCACCGCCACCGCGACCCTGCGAGGATAGGATCACGGCCGGTGACAGCTTCACACTGTTATGACTTCGTTGGGTGGAAATTGAGGCACCACTTTTTAGGACGCTGTAAACGCACCAGTCAGAGATGCATTGCAGGCACCATATTCCTACTCCCCGAAGTTTGATTGTTTCTGCATCCACGCATAAATTTCTTCACTAACTTTGACGAGGAAATTGAATTGATATATACAGTTATACTCCAATTCAGGTTGCGTTGCTTGGTTGTATGGGTCACGCGAGAAGTGTTTTCCAGCCTAATTTAGTGTAGGAACTGAATAGGTTTATATATTTACACAGGGCGCGCAAGGCATTTCAGAACATAACGATGGTTTCAGCAAAAAAAAATGATGTTTAAAAAAACTACTATTGTTGGTTGTCTATCAATTGCGATAGCATTCGTCTAGGACAACCTCAAGGACGACGTCTAAGACGATGTCCTAGAGGACAACGTCTAGGACAACCTTTACGGCGATCTCAAGGGCAACCTCTAGGACGACGTCTAGAACGACCTTTAGGGCAATCTTAAGGGTGACCTCTAGGACGACCTTTAGGGTGATCTCAAGGACGATGTACTAGAGGACGACGTCCTAGAAGACGACATCTAGGACAATCTCCATGACAACGTCAAGGTCGTGAGGTCTTTCGAAGAGGGTGCAAATCTGAAGGAGTGTGAGAGTGTGAGCTGAAATGGTCTAGTGTGCATGCTTATTGTGCATTAGGAGGCCAGAAAGTCCAAGAAATCCAGGCGGTATAATTAAAGAATTAAAAAATTATATTTTCATTAACTTTGGTACAGGTACTGTCTTCTTTTCGAGTTTTTATTTACTATTTATTTACAGAAAAAAACCTGCAGCGCCGAAAACTTCGGCATTATAGCAGGTGCAGCCCATGACGCCAATAAAATAAAAACAGAACACTTGAATATACAACCTGGGCTGTCAATAAAAAAATACATAAACATGGAACATAAACAACATTAAAAATCAAGACCATTTCCTGAGATAATAGGTCCGACGTCGTCACGAATAAAAGAAGACTCTGGTAACAGGTTCCACTGAGCGATTGTACGTGGAAAAAAATGAAAACTTCTTATAATCTGTTTTACAAGAAATTTCCCTTATTTTTCTGATATGATCCACACGATTTGAAATGTAGTTAGGTAAATTTATGTAGTTGCTTTTATCAATACCAGTCGTATCATTAAAAATTGCGAGCAAGAACCTCAATCGAAAATCTTTGCGCCTTGACAATAAAGTTTCCCAACCAAGTACATTTTTAGTCTCTGTTACGCTATTGTTTCTACTATAATTTCCTGTTACAAATCTCGCCGCACGGTTATGAAGTTTTTCTAACTTATCTGCAAGGTACTCCTGATGCGGATCCTTTATTCAAACTTTATTCGATAGAATAAAGTTTGAAGTGTCAGTGACAATGACTGACTCAATGCAGCTTTGAGAATGGCTGCATGCCTCGATCCAGTGGCGTAGGCAGAGGAGGGGTTTAGGTTTAGGGAAACTATTTGATATTTGATTCAGAAGTATTTGGCCAAAACCACAGTTTGCTTCGAATTCGCTTCAAGCTAAAAATCCACTTTTTGCACGTGCATGAAAACGGGTTTGAGCTAAATATGGCCCATAACCTGATTTTATTAGGCCTGCTTTGGTGCACCACTCAAATCTAATATCCCTTTAGTAATGATGATGTGTGGCAGTCTTGAGGAGGTTTATGTTTCTGGAGTTCAGTGTTACCAACCATCTGAAATCGAAAGACATGGCAGCCTTGACTTCCCAAGTCAAGCTACTCAATGTTTTTGCTTGGTTGGATACTTGCTAAGGAATTCCCCAATGAAATGTTTTGTGGACACCCTGATGATTTCATCTTGTCACAATTGAGGAGCTATGCTAGGAATGTCTTCACATGCTACTGCTGTCTATCAGCCACTGCTGTCAAGCAGGTAAATACTGTCTGAACTTAAAGCACATTGTCTAACTTCTTTAAGTGGTACTATTTGATGAGGCAATGTACTCAAATGTAATCGAATTTGGCTCCTAGTTCAGGTATGCACATTCAGTTTTCAGTGAGACAGCTAAACCTTGGGTCTTGCATTATAACTGCAGGTCAAAGCAACAGTTTCTCTTCGTATGGAGATAGCACCTAACTTAAATGACAGCATTATTTCTAGCATACCAATAACTTGCTACCAGGTTGTTTTTTTTTCCACAAATTCTTGAGATCTGGATTTCTGACAATTTCCAGGGTGCTGAGGGGAGAAAAGGGCAATCGCTGAAACTTTTGTTGTTCTCTGCCCTTTTTCTCCCACACATCAGTTATTTTGTTTGCGAAGATTTTGCAGTTCTGTTGCATAGTGCCACACAAGTGTGCCAAACATAGCAATTGGGGGTGTCATGCATTTTCAAAATCAGCATTGTTTCGTTTGACAAGGGCAAAATATAGAGGTTGGTTGGACATAATAGGGGTGGTCAGTCAGCCAGACTGGTGGGTGGCAAAACCACTGCCACCCACTGTGGGGAGAACCCTGCTTGCTACAGATGTGTTTTTAACCAGCATTTTATAGCATAAATGTTGTTGTAGCTTCGGTGCTTCAGATAGCTTTTGTTCGATGCTAGCACAGAAAACGCTGACTCGCAACTGCACATATACTCAAAAACTGTTGAACATTACAGAGCACTTAGCCTTAAGGTTGGGAAACTTTGCACTTACTGAGGACCAGTTGAAGGCTCCTTGCGGGCGGAGATGGCGTGCACAACAAGTTTCATGACTCCACATTGACAGCAAAAAATGTCACCATGTTTTATTGAACTATAGAAACAAATAACATTTTTTTTTTTTATTTCGGGTTGTGTAATCTTTCAAATTATTTCTAAACCAACAGCCCACACTTTCTGTACGGAAAACTTTCCAATAATAAAAAGGACCAGCCTAAGACACCATGTTTGTGGCACTATTTTGTTTTCGTGAGGGGTGTGTATTTTTATGTCCCCAGGTCGCATTGACTTCTCCAGACACGAGGAATGGGCCTTCTACTCCGATAATTGTGCCTTTTAGGGCAGAGAGCTGCATTCACCATAAGCCCGTTGGAACATTGAGAAATGATGAAGGCAGTAGAGTGGTTAGTTCGGGCAGTTTGTTCATGTCTACTACACATAGAAGAAGTGCCAAAAAAGGCAAGGATGTTCAGCTTGTTCCATCCTTCCGGCACTTTTTCTATGCATTGAATTTTGATGGGCTCAGTTATCTGAGTGTTTGTCTTTGACCGGACCACTTCCTCCAGGCCGAGTGTGTCCCACTACTGCCTGCGCATAGCAGAGGAGAGTGGGGAGATTGACGAGGATTTCCCTCCCCTGGACCCCCGGGAGCCCGTCTCCAAGTTTGAGTTCCCTTTCCTGGCGCTGGCTCAGCTGGACCGGGAGGACTTCCCCACAGGCACCCTCCTCACTTTGTGAGTCCCTCTCCCTGCGTCTCGTGGGCGAGCTCGCCATAAACTTCTATGATTCGGGTTCCCTGTTTTCGGATAAATCCGATAAACACTGGAAAGTGAGTGTTTTTTTGGAGCCATTGTTCCGGTTTCTAGTTTGAACCATATTATTTGTGAAAAATGTAAACTTGTAGATTTCATAGGCTGGGAGGGCAGCTGAAGGATTTATGCATCCAGAAATTTGGCTATTTCAAAGTAGTAATGATGTTAGCTCTGGTTTTCAACATTTGTTGTGGGACAGTTAGTACTGCCAATCTCAAGGGCGCCAATGTAAATGCAGCTGCAAAAATACCTTTTGGTACCGGTGATTTTTTTTTTTTTTCTTTTATAAATTTAGTGTTTGTTTTTGTTTAAACAGTATTTATTTATTTTTTTTTTTAAGAAATAATATGAACAAAGTAGAATTAAACTCAGAATTTTGGAGAACTGGGGATCTTACAAAAATGAACTCCGATATTCTGCCCTGAATTTCCAGCGACAAATAAGCTCCGAAAAACACTCTCCGAATTTCGCCATAAATATACTGAAAACACAGAATCCTGCCTATAATGCATGAAATGCAGTGTATTTAAGGAGTAGCCATTTCAACTTCTTTAGACCACATTCAACAGTCATTTCAGACAGTGAAGAAGAACTTATACTTTTCATGATTTCCCCACAAAAATTAAGGGGGAACTGACGCAGGGCAAGTGACCTCGATGTTCCTGCTAAATTTAGTGGGGAGACCGGATTTGTGCATAGGTCTTGTGGTGTCAAATCATTTGACGTCAATTTCCTCGGTAAATTTAGCGGAGAAACTGAATCGGTGTTTAGGTCATGCGACGTTAACTTTCTCATTAAATTTAGCGTTGAGACTGAATCGGCGTGTACGTTGCACAATGTTATTTCCGTGCTAAATTTAATGAAAAATGCATGGACAGGCAGATTAAAATTTCGTGCTTGGGGGATTCTGTTAGAAAGCATTGTATGGTTTAATGGGGTTCTCTGTTTTTGGTGTGCATTAATAAGCGCCAAGGGATAACCCCTGAGCCTGCTTTATAAAAATAGGGGGAAAACCGAAAAACCCCGAATTGGAGCTGTCCTCGGGTAAGAAAGTAATGGAAAGATACAATCTTCTGCTAACCCTGCAACACGGCCTCCCCTGAACTATCTGAGAGGTATTTTTTGCGAACCTTTATTTCGTTTCCGTCTCTTTACAGTAATGGGATGGATGTCTTTGAAGACTATGGGTCACAATAAACACCAAATCGGTGGAAAATAATAAATCCCGATAAAACATCCCCAAATATTAAGAAAAGTGAACCTCGAGAACATGGTACCTTATCTGAAGTTTTTCTGCGTTCTGGTTTTAACTTGCCGTAATATCCCGAGATATGCCCCTCCACCGAAAGATAACCCGCCCCTATTTTTAACACAATTTGGTATTTCAGAAACACCAAAACCCAAAACCAAAAACACCTCTAGTAATTGCAGGGCTCTGGCCTATGGTGACCTTGGCAAAATTAGTTACGCAGCTACAGCGGGCGATGAGCGAACGTTGCAAACTGGGAAGGACAGTTTTTTATGCTCTATTGGCCTTCAATGCAAAAACAACCTTGGCAGGTTACAGAATATAGAAGTACTAGCATACTTAAAAATGTTCTTAATTGCACACCGAAAGGTAGCCCACTCCTCATTTTCACCAAATTTAATCTCGCTTTTAGGTGAGCTGCCTCTGGGGATATGACGGTACCATCCTCATTAGAAAAAACGGTGTGGAGAGTGGAAGGCTTGCTTTTCTTGCTTTTGGTTTACGAGCAGTCACCATCGGCCTTCTGCCCGAAATTCTTTTCTCTGGGAAGAGGCTCTTCAATACCGTAGACAACTTCATTTTTGTGGGTTTGATGTTGTGTGAATTCTGCAAAGTACAGGTTTTGGGAAGGTGGCGTGCACAAAATTCCGTGGTTGGGTGTGGTGCGCTATTTAAGCCTTACTATGAGGGATGTGATGGTGGGATGAGATTTTTGTATAATTTTTGTGATCGCAAATTATTGCAAAAATTAGCTCTTTGCAAGAATTTTATGGTTTATAATATTCTGCTTAGAAAAATGTTACTGGAATCCATATTACAGTCGACTCTCATTAATTCAAACTCTCGTAATTATAGCTTGCAGATAATTCAAGCTAACATGCAGGTCCCATCCTATGCATCTTTATGGGAGGCAACTCTCGGTAATTCAAACTTTGCTTTATTCAAACATATTTTCGGCCCCCCTCGAGTTTGAATTAACGAGCTTCGACTGTAATGTGTTAAGTCTGACTCATAGCCATCCACTTGTTTGAAAGCGCCCAGGGAAGATTCTTTTGAGAGACAGGGTTTTCTGCCAGGGTAGTTACCTTTCTGGGTGATCTTCTGGGGCAGGAAGGTTATATTTTCTCATGCTATTTATCCTTTGCAGTCTTGTTGGACCGAGTGGCTACAGTTTGAGGATATTAACATTGAGAAATACAAATTTTCCTATGGGGTTTTATTTTGTTGCAAGGGGCATAGACCATTGATTCTCCCTGGCATAGGCCTAAGTAGTCAGGAGACTAGTATTCTATAACCTTAACACTTTTGTGCATGAGGTCCTCATATCAGGACAGCTGTGTAGTAACTGGGGGTTTATTTACATGATTAAAAAAACGTATGCCGCTGGCTAACCTAGGGCTTGCTTCATGTCGGCTCAGTCCAGTCAATCGCGCTCAGTGTTCTGTCTCGAGCTCGCTCGCGGTCTTTTCGCGAGATCTCGTCTTCTGCCTCTTTGTCCGAGTTACCACACTCCTCCCGCTTTAATCGTTTAGGTGCCAGCGGGAGCTCCAGCATCCGGTAGGCTCGGTGGCACGCCAAGTCTGTCTGGGGGACGCCGGATCCGTTGAGGGTAACGGTTTAAGTGTTCAGTCGGAGGCGTTACTGCGTCTCCTGCCGGGCCTGGCTGTACCACTGTAGGTGGGGCTCTTCCCGATGAACTCTGCAAGTCTCCAGCTGAGTCCGTCGACACTCTAGGAGTGGCAGCCGGGCCTAAGAGCATCCATGGTGGTGGGCAGGTTGTTTCACGACTTGGTAACTGAGCATCCAGTCGCAAAAGATGGTCCAAGTGAACGGAGACTGTACGTTCCCGTACCTCCACTAGATACCATAGTGGCCCTCTTCGGGAAACAATAACTCCAGGAGACCAAGAGGGTTGGTTCCCTCTCACGTCTCGCACGAAGACCTTATCTCCTACATCAAAATAACGAAGTGATCGTCGTGACTTGTCGTGTGCCAACTGTTCCTGGCGTTGGTGCTTGGTCACAGTCCGCTCCACACTTGGCTTGATTAAATCCAGGCGAGTACGAAGCGGCCGCTTGAGGAACAGTCAGCTGGTGTTCTCTCTGTGATTGTATGAGGAGTGCTCCGATAGTTCAGGAGAAACCTGGCCAGCCTTTGGTGCTCTGTTTCTGTGAGTGTGTTTCCAGCAGCTGCGTCTTTCTTCCATGCTCGCTTAAATGTCTGCACCGCTCGCTCAGCCGCGCCATTTGAAGCGGGATGGTATGGGGGAGTACGGATGTGCTTCACGCCGTTCATTCGCAAGAAGTTCCCGAAGTCTCCAGAAATGAACTGCGGTCCGTTATCCGAGACAACTTCAGAGGGCACTCCATATGACGCGAAGAGGTTCCGCAACAATTTAATGGTGCGTGCTGCTGTAGTCGTTTTTGTGGGCAGGACTTCGATCCACTTGGAGAAGCTGTCCATTACTACCAGGTAGTGCTGCTTGTCGAGCTCGGCGTAATCTATATGTATCCTCTCCCACGGATTTCTCGCCCAAGACCACGGGTGTAGAGGTGCAGCAGCTGGTTGGTTCTGCATGGATGCACAGGCGTAGCACTGCTTAATGAAATCTTCAATGTCTTGGTCCAAAATTGGCCACCAGAGATAGTTTCGTGCCTTGGCCTTCATGCGACTGACGCCGGGGTGATTCTCGTGCAGCTCATGTAGTAGTCGTTTTCTAAGATTCGGTGGTACGACGACTCGGCTTCCCCATAGAAGACAGCCTTGGTCCGTAGAGAGCTGCTCTCGTTCTTCGAAGTAAGTACGCAGGTTTTTATCTTGAAGGGGAGTGGGCCAACCATTTAGGGTAAAGTTCAAGACTTTGGATAAGGTCGGGTCTCTCCTTGTTTCCACCGCGATTTGATGACTTGTGACTGGGAGAAGTTCCACATTGGAGACCTGAAGTACCGACGTGTCTTCGTCTGGGTCACTGGAAGCAAGGTCTAAAGGCAAACGTGATAGTGCATCTGCATTGCCATGTTCTTTGGACTTCCGGTACACGATGTCATAGTTGTATGATAGGAGAGTAAGTGCCCAACGTTGCATTCGTAGAGCGGCTAAGCTTGGAATTGCTGTTTGGGTGTTGAAGATCGCAGTCAAAGGCTTATGATCTGTAATAAGGGTGAATTTCCGACCGTATAGGTACTTGTGGAACTTCTTCACACCGAACACAATACCAAGTGCTTCTCGTTCGATCTGTGCGTAGTTGCGCTCACTCGGTGAGAGCGTCCTAGAGGCGCAAGCAATTGGCACTTCGTCACCGTTTGGCATGATGTGAGATATGACTGCTCCCACTCCGCTTGGAGATGCATCGCAGGCGAGGCAAAGCGGCTTGCTAGGGTCGTAATGTGTGAGCCACTTGCTTCGCATCAAGCTCTCTTTTACCTCTTTGAAGGCTTTTTCACATTCTGACGTCCACTTCCTGCTGCTGTCCTTCTCTAGAAGTTGGTGTAGTGGTTTCAAAATCGTGGAAAGGCCCGTCAAAAATCGTCCGTAGTAGTTTAACTGGCCTAAAAATGAACGCAGTTCCATCACGTTGGAAGGCGACGGTGCGTTCTGGATGGCTTGCACCTTACTTTCGGTTGGGTGCAATCCTTGGGCGTCGATTCTGTAGCCGAGATATTCCACGCTGCTC